CATTCACTCCACTCCAGGGCATTGGGCAGCAAGCCCAAACAAAGGGGGTAAAAAAGCAAAACAAATGGGCAGCACGTTAAAGAAAAACGTTGGCAGCACGCGCGTCAGTGTGTATCTTGTTCAGGGCAGGCAGTGTTTTGGCGTTGGCGGCCACCTACTCAGTCTTCCACAGCAATATTTGAGTCTCGTAACAAAATATGGGCTTGCCTTGCTTATTCCAGCATTCCGTAACGCCGTACAATTAACCCCCAAAAAAGCTAGTTTACGATCAACGCTCAGCGAGGATGCCAGCCGGCTCCTGCATAGGCGCAGGGGCAACGGACGTTCTCCTGTATTGAGGGGATCGCCAGTTTGGTTACTTCTGTCTAGTCGAGGCTCAAAGGTAAATGCTAGATTTTAAGAAACCTGTGGACTTGTCTCCACCCCTAGTACCTACGCTTCCGCGAAGACGCATTCCATTCTCACGCCGGTTGAAGTTGACCGGTTTTTCTGAATATAAGCTCGCAAAGCACAAGCTCATGCCTGCCACTTGATTCCGCCTGATCGTGTCGTGGACATACGCACCCACCAGTAATAGTCTAGTTGTTACTGGTACAACAGTAGCCTGACATGCCCGCTGTAAGTCGCCAACAGTCCGCACGCGCAGAATTTTCCATTTCCACGCCAGTTTCAACGTCATCAGTTGCTGCGGTAGCTTGTAAAGCACACCATCACATTCGGCGTTAGATTTACGCAATCGGCTCGCTTGTCGTACGCCCCTGCCGCTGATCGTTTTCTATTATTGATGTGAAGAAAATCCGATGTTCCAGCCGTCCTATTTCGTATAATCGCCGTTTGTAGGTTCACACTTATCATGCCTTTGCATCGCGCCGAGCGATTAGCCGCACAGGCTTGAAAAACACCTCATCATATTCACCATTCAATCACACGTAATCGGCCCGCTGGCCATATGCACTCACGCTGTCAGTTTGTACCTTATGTGTGCGGGGATTTCCAATGTTCCGGCTATCCCGCCGTGTTGGGCTCCACGGCTAGCGGCCGCGCCGCATTGCAGTCTCAGCGCCGGTGACCCCACCGCGCTGCATAAAGCTTGGGAAAACCCGACGCATGGCAAAGCACGCGCACGGCATGCCCCTGGGCTGGAGTCCGTTGTTCGGCCGGAGCGCGTGGGTGTATTGGCAGTGTGTCTTGCGACAATGACACGCTCAAACAACCCCAGTCGTGCCGATCCATTTGGGAAGCATAAAACGAGAGCACGGCGAGGTTTAATGACCGCACCGAGGAGCTGGTCAGTTGAGTCTAGGATCCGCAGATGGCAGCCTTACCACTTCTGTGCTGCAGCGGTCGTACCAAACTTACTGGAGATCCTGGAAGCAGGGGGCAAGAGTATATTTTTGCCTCCCCATGTTTTGGGAGACTTCTTGTCTCAATGCTAAAGGCATTTTAGTTATATGAGGAGTATCAACATTCAGATTAAGGAGGTCCCTCTAGATGAGGTACGGAGCAATAAATTGGGCTCATTGACCCTTTCCTACATCAAGAGACCCCATTTCTGTAGCATGAGACCATCTTTATGAGTACGGAAGCCAATGCTTTATATCAAACGATCCGATGTTGTGGTAAGGAGGGCCCTTTGCTGACTTGTAAGGCCTCAATTACAAACAAGTAGGCCTCTGTTCTGGGTCAGGAGGCACCCTCTGTATTCAAGAGGCCCCATTTCTAAAACAGGAGGCCCCTTTCATGGATCAGATGGCCGCGGTTCCGGATTGGGATGCCCCGTTTTGGGATAGCGAGGCCCCTTAGCTAGATTTGAAGGCCCCTCGTTGATCACAAGCATCCTGTCCTCGATTAAGAGGCATAGGGAGGGCCTTTTCTGGAACCACGTGTGGCGCAGGCTACCGCGGTAGGGATGTCGATGGATTCGCCAGTCCCTTAGAGACAGTGGAGGTCATGACCTCTTGTGTTTGAATGGTGCGTCTCGCGTTGGATAACTCCTGTGTTTTAGGGGTGCGCCTTGTGTCTACAATGCCGAATAGCCAGCGTGGCATGTGTGATTGGCGGTTTCGCTTCCGAATTACCGGTCTTTTTGGCAGCATGACGCGAACGTCTGACGAGCGGGGTAATATAACTAAAACCTGAACGCTGTGCCTTTCAACAGGTCGACAACTGGCTTCAAAAGGACAACAGCCGAGTTGGTAGCGAAGATACGCAGAAGAGACTGGAGGAAGCTACGCACGAAAATCGAGGTCTCAGGGTGAGTTAACCCCTCCATGTTTAACAACTTACCCGTGCAAGCATGCTACGGCTCAAAGTAATCGCTACTATGATTTGAAACATGTACGCAGATCAAAATGCCTGGGGTACACACCGTGACTCAAAGCGACCTTTTCAGATGCGAGACATAATGTCTGTCAGACAAGACGTTCTAAAGTGATTGCATTGAAAATACATGCCATTTTAGTCCAAGATCTTTGCCAACAAGAGGCAAGGGAGACTAGGATAGTGACAGCCCTTTTAGCTACATTTAATCAGAGTTTAGATCAATTTATTGAGGAAGTTCCACGTAGATCAAAACTATGCCTCAGTGTCATGGATGAAAAGCAGTGTAAGTGTTGCGCGTGTAGACCAGGCGTGATATCTAAGAGAACGCACCATGTTATGCTGGCAGCGACCATACGCCATGCGATCATAACATGCATTTCCACTGAGCGTTCACATGATTACACCGATGTCACATGCGTGCTTGTTTTTTATTTAATACGTTTAGGACACACCAACAAGGAACGAGGCTGCCACCAACGGCAACGCATAATCGTGGCATGCTATTTCTGCGCCACAATAATGCCGTTTGTGCCTGATGGAACGTTCGTTTTCTTCTCTTTGCTTTTCTGCTACGTACGACCATAAACGGTGATGCAAGCCTTTGCATCAAACGATTTTAGCATATGCCACAGTCACATAATCTCAGAACCTGCATGAAACAAATTGGCTTATAGATAAGACAGTAGTAATAGCTGTACTCCTTGTAGAAAAACCAGGAGAATAGTTCGTTTCGGTAAAGGCATGTTGCTGAAATATCACCGCATCTATCTCCTTATTCTCCTGGTTTTTCTGCGAGGATTAAGACTAGTTCTACTGTGTTATCTGTATGCATAATGCTCCTCACAAATGTACCTAACAGCTTGAAAACCTTGGCTTCGTGAAACAGGCCTCACTTTGCTGGTTTTCAAGTGTTAAACCTGCCTCGATTGTGCTTGACACTGTTTCAGATTTACCATGTCATAACGCTCTGAATTTATCGTCACACGGCATAATCATAGCATATACCCCAGGCTATTGGAAAATTAAGAGTGATGCACTTGGTACACTTATCGTATTTGTGTAAGACATCGCTATATACTGTGGCCCTCATTCCCAATGCATTTATGCATTGCAATAGCATGCTGAATTACCTTTCACTGTCTACATGCATTTCAAAGAACTCGGCTTTCAATTCAAACATGCATGTGTTAGCCTGCATATACAAGATACATTCATGCAATGAACATCCTCTTGAATACTACTGTTGAAACAATGTGTTTCGATTACATCGACAACGTACACACAAACACCTTGGTTGCCTGTGAGTCTGAGAAAGTGTTTTGGGCAGATGAACCTGACTGAAACTGAAACCAGCATCGCCCTGATGAGAGCCGATATGGCTCAGATTCGGTCCCAGTACGAAGAAAAGTGTCGGGAACTGCACAGGTAAGCTGACACCGAGACAGTCCGTCACAGAGTATGTCAAACGTGATGGTGTACTGACCACTCAAAATGCGTTTCAAGGTGTCTGCTGGCGACGTACCTGAGGCAGCTGTTGCTGCCAAGCTGCTCGAACTATGCGCAGCATGCATATAAGTTTACATTGTGCATTTTGTTAAAAGCCTAAGCCCTCGCGGGAGGAAAGGATGATGACGTTTGATAAACTAACCCGTAAGTTTCGTTTAAAGCCTTCACATTGTTTTATTGGAAAGTGTATGTCGCTGAAGCCAGTGGAACATTTTCCTTTATCCGACCTTTAACGCCGTCGTTGAGCCCTTGATCAACGCAAGTCGTTGTGCCCGGATACAAATATTGTGTTCGTTGATTGATGGTTTAATAGCGGAGCCGACTGACTTAACTTCATCCCTTTGAGACCTGTTCGGAGAAAACGTGCCAGTGACTATTGGGAAAGTACTTGTGATCGCAAAATTGTTCCATCGCAAGTGCCGGCCTGCTGGAAATCGTTCATGTGCGTGCAGGCGTGGCCTGTTCTCCGGTCAGAAAATGGAACAAATGCATGGTTTATTACAGCGAGCGTCAACAGCTCGAGGAATACGTTCGCCCGCCAGGAGCAAGTACAAAGACAACTGCAAGTATTGCAGTGAGTATATGTAGGCTATAATCACTTCGTGCACAATCTCAGGCGTTTCATGCGTCTGTTGCACGCGTGTTGTATCCGGCAACATCAGGGAGCGTTGAAATATGGTGTAAGTGTGACTGAGACGGGGTTTTCATGTTGATCGAGACTGGCCTCCATAATGATTTATTGATGCCCTAGGAGATGTATGCTTGTTGCTTCTGTTAACTGCGACCAAATACAAGTCCTATGAATGACCTCGGTGAGATTCATGTGTTCATCTGGCACCAATGGTGCGGCTGAGCCCAGCAAGCGGCAACAGAAGGTGTCATCCAGCCGCCCTCGCGGAGCCGCTCGAGCGCCAGCGCCGCCCCTGACCGTCGCGTCGCCCCAGCGCCAGCGCCGCGCCGTGCGGTGCTGACGCGCCTGCTGTCCGCTTTGCCCAGCGCCAGCGCCGCGCCGTGCGGTGCTGACGCGCCTGCTGCCGCTTTGCCCAGCGCCAGCGCCGCGCCGTGCGGTGCTGACGCGCCTGCTGTCGCTTTGCCCAGCGCCAGCGCCGCGCCGTGCGGTGCTGACGCGCCTGCCGTCGCTTTGCCCAGCGCCAGCGCCGCGCCGTGCGGTGCTGATGCGCCTGCCGTCGCCTTGCCCAGCGCCAGCGCCGCGCCGTGCGGTGCTGACGCGCCTGCTGTCGCTTTGCCCAGCGCCAGCGCCGCGCCGTGCGGTGCTGACGCGCCTGCCGTCGCTTTGCCCAGGGCCAGCGCCGCGCCGGACGGTGCTGGCGCCCCTGACCGTTGCTTCGTCCAGCGTCACCGCCGCGTCGGACGGTGCTGACGCCCTGACCGTCGCGTCGGTGGTACTGACGCCTGACCGGCGCCGCCACCGCAGGGAGGCGAACCGGCGGATCCAGGACACCAATGACAGTCTGCGCCAGACGCTGCAGGACGGCGGCCGGCCGCGGCGCCACCAGCGGCCCGGCAGCCAGATGAGCTCGACGCTGGGCGACGAGCTGGACAGCCTGTGGGACGGCGAGAGCGTGCGCTCGCACGGCTCCGGCCGACGACCCCTGCTCGACGACGTGCAGTACGGCATCCCGCGACTCATGCATGACCTCGGTCAGTCCCGGGCGAGCCGGTGCACGCGTTAGTGTGCTGTGGTTAGTTCTCGAATCCCGAACGATGCCAGGCTAACCGAGGAAGTGTCGCGACGAGTGGCGTGGTGTTTTCGCACGTCAAAGACCGTGCTGGTTGTATGTGGCAACGAATGGCTGGTGATTGCCAGTCATTTGTGGCAATGTTGCGACATACCTGGTGAGACATGGATATAAGCGAGTCGACAGATCCGGATGGATTGGACGTGAGATTCAGTGAAAGACGTTCTTTCTTCCCGTGATTCCGAGAGAGCGCTGTGGACGGCGCTGTGATCAACCGATCCGGGTCTCCGGTGTTCTGCCTCGCCTGATCGGGAACCCCGGAAATGTGACTGGACATTGCTTGTGTATCATGTCACTTGTGAAGGGCCGGTCCGTGTGAATTGTGAAGGACCCGTCCGGATTGTCAGTGTTGTGGAGGGCCGGTGAAGACCACCAGTATTGTGAACGGCCGGTCCGGACTGCCAGTATTGTGAACGGCCGGTCCGGACTGCCCGTGTTGTGAACGGCCGGTTCGGACCGCCATTGTTGTGAACGGCCGGTTGGCACCTCGGATGCTCCTCAGACAGCGGCCTGAAGGATCCAGACGACCTGGACAGCGGCCTGGACCGGTCTGTGCGGGACGAGGCCGAGTCTTCGCTGGACCGCTCGGTCCGGGAGGACCTGGACGAGCTGGAGGCCGAGCAGGACAACGGCATCGATGAGTGTCTGCTGGTGAGGACGCAGGTCTCCCCGGCTTTGCGACGACCCCGTGGGCAACGCGCTGTTCACACTCACCACCGTGGCATACAGTAACAACAGCCAGCTCTTGGCAACAAACACCCGTGAGTCTACTCTGGGCAAAAAACAATTGCCTTGCATAGTGTTTTCCAACGGAGACGATCACGACTACATGACAGGGAGATAGCGTCATAGGAAATCAGGGTCCGTCGTTCTGCAGCAGCACGATCTTTGTGAGGAGGGACGTTTAGATGATGTACGTTCGACTGATGGGTATTTGGGCAGTCACTGGTGAATCTGGGTATGGCCGAATTGTCACCTTCCAATGCTAACATGCGGTCCGAAAGTGAAAACCCTGTGTGTTGTCAAACCCATTGCCGAACACGCAGCAGTAAAGCAGTAAAGGACGTGCCAGATGACCAAGACACATATGTACAATGTTAGAAAAATGGGAATTGGGTATCTGAGAGGCACGCTGGCGAGCCGATGAGGATACCGCTGCGCTCTTTGGAGAAGACAGGTACTCGCAGGTCCAGGAGATGTGCCAGTCGTGTGGGTCCCAGATGTGCCAGTCGCGCGGGTCCTAGATGTGCCAGTCGTGGGATCCCGGGTGTGACAGTGATGCGGGTCCCAGATGTACCAGGCGAGAAGTGCTTCCAGCTTTTTCAGGGTTCGCTCCCACACTCAATGTTCTGGCGAAATCGAACGGAAATCGAAACTATGCCACGGCAGTTTGGGCGGGGGCCAAAGGCGTCCAATCAGGTTTTGTTGTCATGAAAATGAAACCAGACGTCCAAAAAACCTGCCGGTTGCTTGGCTCCATATCAAACTCTTCGTGCTGGCCATTCCATACGAATGCGGTGCGAGACTGACTTGCGAAGCCCGGATCAGGCGGACGCCTTCGACAGCAATGCACAAATAACGGAAGTCCGAAAATGCGCAAACAGGCGACAGCGGGGTAGAAGCGAGAGACTACGGCATCATGTGCCAAACTAGCTGTGCCAAATTGTCGCTCAAGCACTTACTAGTGGAAGGCCAAGAAATGCTATGGTGGTAAAATGCTGCTTATGCATATCAACCCCGTGGAAGGTGCGGCAAATTACCTGAGTGCAGTTATTGATAAGTAAAGCACATGGAGTATTTTTTCTCATAACAACAGAACAATAATAGTCACTCATCACTCAACACTTAAAACATTAAAACAACAAAATACGACTATATGTTCCAATACATTCAACAAGGCTGTACTCAGTTTCATATAGCCTTAACCCACTGTTTTTTCAAGAAATGTCTCTTTTTAAGTTCTTTGTGTCGAGATAAGGAGTCCGTTATCCAAGTCATGCAGGAATGTACTGAGCCGTTAACCCTATGAGAACGCTTATCACCATTGTTCCTAAATATGTGCAGACCCGTCACTTTAAACAAATATTTCCGCATAACTATAGCAGAGAGCCACGCAGAGATACGACACAGTCTGACCAGCCCCGACCCGCCTCTGCTGTCCTCAGACAGCGACCGACCAGTTCGTGGAGCGCCGTGCTACGCCACGCGGCTCCCCGCGGCCCGGCGCACGCAGCCGACCGCAGTCGCCGAGGCCCAGCCCGCGGCCCTCTCCGCGGCCCGGCGCGCGCGAGGCGGCCCCCGCTCCCTCCCCCGCCCGGCAGCCGGCCACACTCTACGAGCCGACCGGGCCGCCCGAGCGCACTTATAAGGTGGTCTTCGCCGGCGACGCGGCAGTCGGCAAGTCGACCTTCATCACGCGCGTCTGCAGGGGCGTGTTCGTCACCAACATCAGCTCCACGCTCGGTGAGCGGGCCGGCTGATGTTGCTCGGAGTGCTCGCTGCTCTCACCGGAGAGCGATCGAGGCCCTGCTGACGCATGGGCAGAGACTTGGCGAGGTGCTTCAGAAGGGAACACCCGACAAATGATATGCAAATACTAGAAGTGTTTCGGCTAGGCAACAATGTCATATGCCGTTTTTAACTCACTTCGGGTTAATGCGAAACTGAGACATTTGGCACGAAGATGACGATGCTGTATGGAATGGCTAGTCAACACAATCAAGCCGCGGTGTGGTAGAAGTATGGCCTGCAATATGCTGTACCTGATGACGGCGCTCCTTCGCAGGTGTCGATTTCCAGGTGAAGTCGCTCTGCGTGGACGACAAGAATGTAGCCGTCCAGCTGTGGGATACTGCTGGTCAGTGCTGCAGTCGGGCTCCGACTGACTGTGCGCGGTTTTGATGCAATCGTTTAGCTGGTGTCATCTTTAGCGTCCTATCCTCATGCCGTGTCGGATGCGTTGGACGGAGCCTTGCTGATGTATTGGACGTTTAGCAGCGCTCCCCATTTCCATGACAGGCTCTTTCGATGTATAAAACTGACCATTTCATGTATTGCAGTGCTAGAACATGAGAAAAAAAAACTAACTAAATTGTCCTTTTCATCCCTGTTGTCGAAACACAGCCATGTGTTCGCCTTTTTTTCGTTGATCCCCGCTTCCAAACCTGCTCGCTGTTACCAACGAGGCCGCGCCAGTACCTTGAGGAGATATGTGAGACCGGAAATGACGGTAATACTCTAGACACTTTTAAACTCATGCTATGCGAATTAGTGCCGCATGTGAAATGCAATATATGCCGTACTATTTCATGTTTTAGTGGCCTCCGATTTTCTTTACTTCGACAGGTTTTAAGCTACAATAATTTTGACGTGTTTTTGATATATAACCTAACATAAAATAAAACAGCATGGTTTGGCACTGTTGTGAGGCCGTTTTTGAGCACTTAATGATAGTCTTAAGCTTTACCAATGGATATTAAGAATTTTCCACGGCAGTTGGGCTAATCGCACATGCATCACGGAATATGTGGCTGGATAGTCAGCAGTTGTCACGTCGCAGTACCAATCATATATGTACGACCTCGCAAGGTTCTGAAAAATTCGAATGCTGCATAATGACACAGAACAAAACGAGACAGTACTTTGAAATGAAAGCTCGTCACTGTCGATGAAAAACATGGGCAATCTTGAGATTATAGACAGTCACAAAAGGGAACTTTGTCACCGACTGGCTAGACCATGTGAGTCAATTAGGTAAGCTTGTGCGCTAGTAGCAAGCAGTTGTATTTGTATACCTAGCATAGCAGCCAGGATATTTACATATTCATGAATTGTGCTACGTGTATTAGGAGCGTACAAAGTCTTTCATCCCCTCTTCCACCCTCGGTCGTCGGGCTGGCCTCCCAGACAAAGTAACCTTCCCCCCCCGCAACTTTGAAACATTCCCACACCTATGCCAGGATGCCCCTGGAAAATCTTGCTCCACCAAGCACAAAAGTTGCGGGGCCACCCCCGGCTGAAGGTGCCACGACGTCATCAAGCGTTGTCATGTCTATGATGTACGGTGTGTGCCGAAGAGTCAGGAGCAATGTCTTGACCATGGTGCGCTGTGTACGACACAGGTCAGGAGCGGTTCCGAAGCATTACCAAGTCATACTTCCGGCGCGCGGATGGCGTCATGCTGTTGTATGACGTCACCAGCGAGAGGTCCTTCGTGAGCGTGCGGCAGTGGGTGCAGAGCATCGACGTAAGTGACGTTATATTTGAAATATATGCACGGCAGACTGCTGATGTGCGTAGGAGTAGGTGGGGCAGTACACCTGATATATATATATATATATATATATATATATATATATATATATATATATATGAAGGGCACGTATTTTGGCGGGTGGACTGAATGTGCACTCGGGCTAATTTCGGAAATAATCGGGTTCTTAAGTGTTGCTTTCTTATATATATATATAGAGAGAGAGAGAGAGAGAGAGAGAGAGAGAGAGAGAGAGAGAGAGAGAGAGAGAGAGAGAGAGAGAGAGAGAGAGAGAGAGAGAGAGAGAGAGAGAGAGAGAGAGAGAGAGAGAGAGAGAGAGAGAGAGAGAGAGAGAGAGAGAGAGAGAGAGAGAGAGAGAGAGA